CTTTTTACAGAATGACCAAAATAAATGATGATGGACAATTTTAGAGACTAATTTTATTGATTTTAAATCTTAGGGAACAAAGTGAAGAGTAATACAAATATCAATGATCATTTTGGCTAAAAAAACCAAAAGAATTTAATTGTCTAAATTGTTTTGACACCTTTTACTCTTTTAAACTTCGCATCTCCCCACGACAATTCTTGACTTTGCAAATACATCATAACATGAATGAATTGTAAAACACACTGAAAAACCTCTTGTCGTAGAGCTGTTCCTATTCTTTGTTTTTTTTTTTCTACAAGGTACGTGGTGATTGGCATGTGAAAATTGCGGCCAAGAAATTTTAGCCAATAAACATCCAGGCTGTGAAAGCCCTTGTGCGTGGTCTCGGCATTTGCGCTCGAGAAACTTGACTGGCGATGTCCTTGTAACCGTGAGAAATTTTTAGTTGTGACGGGAACACAAGTGGTACATCACATGTTTTAATAAAAGTGGTGAAAATTTTTAATTTTTAATTTATTAAATTTTTAGCACACGTATTTTATTATTTGTAACCATCCAGCAACCGGGTCACACTGAAAAATCTCTTGTAACCATCCAGCAACTGATTCCAATCTAAAAACATGACATGAAATCTAGCTACAATGATTTGTAGTCAGGCCCAAGTTTGCTAATTTTTCTTTTTCATCGTACAATTTAGCAGGGGCAAGTTCAAACCAATACAAGTAAGATAAAACCAAAAAAAATTGTGAAATTGCTAATTCAATTACAGGTTAATCATTTACTGTTGTACCAAATTCTCACAAATCTGATAGTGGGGGCATCTGCCCCTTGTAGGCCTTGACGTTTAGTATCCTCATAGTCATAGGTGTTAGAGTATATAAGGCAGTTAGGAATGTGATTGTTAGAATAATTAGTTAGGATTGTTGGTAAGGGAGTGAGTCGGTTAAGGTGGTTAGCCTAGCACTCATCTATATAGTAAGCATACCATTGTAACCATCGAATTAATCAAGGAAATATCAGTGCAATTCTTTCTTTCTTCCTCTCTAAATTCTCTCTGATTCCTTCTTCTTTTTCCTCTGTGATCTCTCTGTTTCTCCTTCTGCATATTGCTTAACATGGTATCATCGCCTCGCATAGACCTGGCGCTTCCGCACCTCAATCAAAGCATTTCTTTCTCTTCTTTACCTTCTAGTTTGCAATCTGTTGTGTGATAAACAAAACAATTGGCTTCTTCCGATCTCCATGAATCTTCAAGAAATTGTTCTTCGTTTCTGCATACCAACTGTTCGATAGATTGTCTCAGTGATAGAATTCTATACAACATCAACAATGGTGACTACTGATCAGTTAAAGATCGTTCAATCTCCGATCACTGGAAGATATTGACCAGAAAATATTGGGTATGTCTTCTCTGTTTTTCTGGGCATCTCTGATTGCCCATTTCTGCATTCTACATTCAACAAAGTTGTGCACACAAGGTGTTTGCTCTTTGTTCTCAAAGAAAACTGATCAACCAGTTTGATTTGTCAGCAACAAATTTGGGGTTTCTCTTCTAAATCTCTATCTGGGTTGTTCATTTCTACAACAAAGGTTATGGTTACCGCTGCACAATTGCAACTTTTGCACTCCCCAATTGTATCGTTGATTCCGTCAGTTTCTTCCTCTACTTGTGTAAAATTAGATGAGCTTAACTACTTGCAGTGGCATTTTCTGATGAAGATGATGCTACAAGGTCATGGCATTATGGGATTCATTGATAGATCGAATCCTTGTCCTCCTCAGAATGTGGCAACATCTACACCTTCTGTAATCACATCTGAATCATCTGCCAAACCAGAATTAGATGAATTTAAAGTGTGGAAAATGCATGATCATGCTTTGATGTTGTTACTTACTGCAACCCTTTCTTCATCTGCAATTTCTTGTGTGATTGGTAGCAAGAGTTCTCAAGAGATGTGGGTTCGTCTTCAAGACGAATTTTTCTTACCAGTCACAAGAACTAGTATCATCAAGTTAAAGACTGTTATGTACAACATGAAGAAATGATCCGATTTTGTTTCCCAATATCTTCGACGGCTTAAAGAAGCAAGGGATGGACTTTCTATTTTTGGTGTTACATTTCCTGATGAAGACTTTGTGGTATTTGCGCTGAATGGACTCCCTCCAAAATACAACACATTTAAATGTGTACTCAGAGGGCGTGAGAATATCATTTCACTCAAGAACTTTCGTGCACAATTGCTTGCTGAGGAAACCATTGTGGATTGTTCTGCTGATTGGAATCCAGATTTTGCGTTCATTTCTGCACAAGAGAAGCAGGAGGAAGAAAGGACGTTTGATGCTTCACAGACAGGGGATCTTGGTGGAATACATCATAGTGACAGCAATGGCCTGGCTCCCTCTGCACGAAATCTTGGATTTCTTGGCCATGCTTTAAAACATTCACATGGATTTCGTCATGACCACTCCCGGCTGCACCAAGTGTAGGGTACGAAGAATGAAGAGGCTGATCCAAGTATGAGGGATCTGGATGCACAACAGATAACTGCTATGGCAGGACAGCAGTCAATTTATGGTCATAACAAGGATGGTGAACTGAATTCTCCATCAACTCACAAGTTATCGCCACTTGGAAATTCCAATGCAACAAATTTTCTGACGGATGCAAGGGAAGGTCTAAGTGTAAAAACTTCTTCACAATCTGCCTTCCAAGCCTAAGGCATGGTTGCATTTGGTGAAAGTGATTCTCAGAGTCCATCTATTGGCAATCATGTGTTACCTAATTATTACAAAAACTTCTCAGAAAGAAGCTTCAAGGAACAAGAACAAGAACAAGAAATGGACCAAGAACAAGAACAACAGTTGGATTTGATGAACTATCACAGTTTGTCCCAAACAAGGTATGTGGAGGAAAAGACAGCAGTTGAAGATGAGAAGGTGGTTAATAACAAGGAACAAACTTCTGTATCATCATTTGATTTGTCCAGCAGCCAAGGTAAGAAGAAATCTGGTGGCGAAGGTAAAGAAAAAGATCACTATGCACTGTTAGGTTTGAGTCATTTAATATCCTTTGCAACCGAGGAGCAGCTACCTAGTTCTGTCGGTGCAGAAAGTTCACACATTAGCATATCACATACCATTTGTTCGCATAAATATCATTTTGATGCTGACAACAAGACGGTATAATGGTAACATACGAGCTCCAGATGCTAGGAGGTTTCTTTTTGCAGGGTATGCGTGCAGCAGTGACCAGATCCTATACTCTCCAATTGTAACAATCTCATGCTTGAACCACCATGAGTTTGCGGGGGGATGTTAGAGTATATAAGGCAGTTAGGAATGTGATTGTTAGAATAATTAGTTAGGATTGTTGGTAAGGGAGTGAGTCGGTTAAGGTGGTTAGGCTAGCACTCATCTATATAGTAAGCATACCATTGTAACCATCGAATTAATCAAGGAAATATCAGTGCAATTCTTTCTTTCTTCCTCTCTAAATTCTCTCTGATTCCTTATTCTTTTTCCTCTGTGATCTCTCTGTTTCTCCTTCTGCATATTGCTTAACAATAGGCATTGCAGATCTCTTCACTCTCCATTTCAGAATCATCTGCAAGTGAATCATCCTCCAAGTCATCCACTTTCTCCTCTTGCTCAAGCTGCAACTCGATGGTGTCCTCACTTTCCAAATCGCTCTCACATAAACCATTGTCTGCCATGTCACTAAAAGCTTCAATCTTCTTCTTTCCCCAGTAACCGATAAGGCTTTGGACTTTTTCCTTCCAAACCACCAAGGGGCATTTCTCAATCAGCTCCGAACCCTTGTAAGCTTCCTTCAAGAACATGCTAAACCTCTTCCCCTCTCCGAAACATAGAAGATGCCAAACTGCTTCAGCAGAAGCCTCATAAACTTCTGGGGCATTTCAAGTTCGCGTTGAAAATGAGTCAGGTGATCAGTCACCAATCTCTTCTCAACAGTAAAGCTAAGCAGCTATTGCATGATAGCAACTGCCCTCTTGTCAAATTCTTTAGAGCCAGCTTTGAGTCCCCTGGCATCTGCATATGGAGCTACGATGCATGGACACGAGAAAAAGCCCCGTATCCCGTATCGGACACTCTGAGGATACGGATATGCGGAGGATACTCGTGGATACGCATCCGATACGTATCAGAGTGAAGGGATACGTTTAGGACTGAGAAGATGCGCGTATCGTATTGTCCAGATACAAGTATCCTACTTTTCGGATACGTTCGAAACTAAAATAGGAGGATAATCAGAAGAAAAATAAAAAATAATCACAATAAATCCGCACAGAATCGTGATTGATCGAAGTTAGCTAACTGAAATCACTCTAAAATCGGAGGATAATCAGAAGAAAAAAAAATTCGGATTTACATCTAGAACCTCAGAAATCACTCTGCTTGGGTTGGGAGACTTTCACGAATCAGACCGTCATCTGCAACCGTTCCGTCGTCGCCATCTGCAACTGCGCTGTCGTCTCCATCTTCTCCGCCTACAACTACTCTGTCGTCTCCTTCGTCTCTGTCTGCAATTCCTGGTGAGTGGTGACTGGTGAGCTTTCGTTTTCACTTTGTTAATATTGAAACTGTGAAATCGAAACCCATCTCTGAAACTGAAACTAAAACCCATCTCTGATTCCCCGAGGACATCACAAGACCCATCTCTAAAACAGTGAAACTCATCTCTGAAAGAAAGTCTGAAACTGAAAGTAAAATTTAATTTGATTATAAAAAGTCTTTTGCTTTTCTTGAAACTAATATTATATACATACCACTACCCACAATAATATATTATAATACCCATTCCACTCCCCCATAATCCATTCAAATCTGATGAAGTTGCTTTTCTGTATATTATAATATATTATTGTATTTTGTGTAAATTTGAATGATTATTTTATAATGTTCTAGATATATTTATTTATTTATTTATATTTTTAATTACCGTATCCCAAACATATCGTGTCCTTGTTTTTAGAAATTTATCGTATCCTCGTGTCGTATTTTTGTATTCGTGTCCGTGCATCGTAGATATGGAGATAAGTAAGACCTTTTTGAAAATGATCAATTGCTCCTTTATACGTGTTTGCCTTTTTGTAATTCGGGGGGAACTTCAACGGAGAAGAGAGCGAAAGCAAGCCCGGGACATGATCATCACTGGCCTCAGTGATCCCCATTGTCTTTTTCTCCAGCTCGGTTATCGCCCACGCAGGATTCCAAATGCTCAACTGCCTCATTATCTTTAACCACCTTGAAATGTTGGGGATATTTGTGCAACCATTTGGTCCTGAAATCAACTGGCAGAGCAAAATCCCTCGTGAAATGGACAATCTTGTCCAATGCCAGCCTTTTATCAGACATCATAAGAAACCGTGTCACGAATTCGGCTGCGGTATCTTGATTTTCCTCATGTATCATGTCCTCCTCTGGTACCAAGTCCTCACCTTGCTTGGTCATCCCACACCATAAAATCCCTCTGACCCTTACACAATTTTCAGAGTTTCGGCGATTTTCGAATAAATCAGACACCCTGTGGGGTTTTGGGAGACTAATCTGGCAGCTGTACTGATCCAATTGCCTGACAGTAATGATAATTTGAGGCTCTTTTTTTCAGAATTTCCATCAAGAATCTTCCATTTCTCAGTCACAATCTCGAGATCATTGTTGAGGTTAAAAAAAAAAAAAAAGGAGGCTATTCCTTAATTCAAGGAAAGTGGGAACGTGAGTAGCAAACAAATCAATGGTACAGATTATTTTTAAGAAATCTACACCATTCATTGTAAAAATAAAAATAAATTTTAATTTTATAATGAGAAACAGTTCCTCCATTTCCCTGGACGTGCAAAAGAAGTTGGTGAAAAACTATCTACTTTCTCACCCTACTCTTCCCGTCACCCTAAGTCTATAAAAGGAGAAGAGAGGAACAGAAAATGAAGAAGAGAGACTCTGTAGAAATTGAGAGACGACGGTGAAGAACGGACGATAAAGAAGAACAAAGCAAGAAAGTAAGGGGAAAAGTACACAATAGCATAAAACAAAAAAAAGCAAGAAAGGAGGAAGGTGTACACACGGCAAAGAACATCAAAGTGTGCACACAACAAGAACATCAAAATACCCAAAGGTATCAATCTTTATCTTTAATTTGTTCTTGGTTTTGTGTATTGGGTGGAGCTTTTTGCAGGATGAATGAAAGAGGAGCTTGGCTTTTCCTCTTTCACCGAAGCCAGAAAGATGGATGGGCAAATTTCCCCATGGCAGCCAAAAGATAAAAGAAGAACATAATCTCTTCTCCTTCCCCCTCAATCTTATCGACAACAGGTAAAGCAATCCACTCCTTTTTATAAGGGCGTTGCTTTGAAAAAAAACCCAGTCATCACCCTCACTTCAAGTTCCCCGTGACACCTGAACTCTCTCTCTCTCGGCCGAGCAGCGCCGAGTCGCTGACTACCAGTTTATTCTTCTCCGGCGGTTCCGAACCAGAGTATAAAGTCGTAGGCCTCTGGAGATCTGCAACTAAAAAAAAAAGAAACAATTGCTTGGGTGCCCAAAAAGGTTTCGAAACCGGTTCTTTCGTCGTCAACCCAGCGCACCCAACGATGGTTCCGAGGCTCGCCAACAGCGCAAAGATGGACACACTAGCAGCGGCCATGCCGTGATCTCTGCCTAGCAAGTTCGTCCACGCTAAGAAGAAAAAAAAAAGGAGTTTATGCCACTACAGTTAGTCCCATGAATTTCTTCAGGGTGGTTTAAACCACCCCGTGAAGTTCCAATCAAACCTGAAAGCTCCGTAAGAGTCCCGACGTCATGTTTTGTCTTCTCAAAGTTGAAGATGTCACGGCAGCAACAAGCATGAATATGGAAAAGCAACAAGAGGCATGGACCAGCGGCGATGAAATCAGCCAAAGTCTTCCTACGTTAAAAAGGGTGCCAGAACGACGCCAACTTCAAGCACCAACGGGAATGAAGATTGCTCTCAGTTCACTAACGGAGGAAAAAACACAAAGGGCTGCTCAGGCATCTAGAAGTTTTGCAAAGGAAAAGATGGTTTGCAAAGGAAAAGTGGGTAAAAATTGACAGATGCTGCAAGACAAAAGGGAAAAGAAAGAGAACGTATTGTTCAAGAGTTCCACCACAGTCTTTTGAGCTAAGAATTCGAAAGATAAGAAAAAAATGGAAAAGATGGTTTGCAAAGGAAAAGTAAGTAAAATTGACAGATGCTACAAGACAAAAGGGAAAAGAAGAGAATGTATTGTTCAAGAGTTCCACTCAAAGTCTTTTGTGTCAGAGATTCAAAAGATAAGGAAAAAATGGAGATTGCAAAGTCTGCAAAGGAAAGCTGCAGTAGAAGAAGAGAAAGAAACTTGTCTTCTAAGTCATGCATGTGTTCACTTAGAAAAAAAAAATGGTTAGTTGTCTTCCATGCAAATTCAAAATAAATGAAAAGGGAAAATATGGTTTTCCTCTCCAAACATCACCACTTGAAAGCCCTATTTGGACTTAGAAAATTCGAAGTCTTCAAGTAGAAGAAGAAAGAAGTTGGGTACAAAACCTTAAATATGTGCAAAAGAAAAAAAATGAGTTTAAAACTCAAAAGGAAGAGGAGCTCCAGCCAAAAGAAATAAAATAAAATACAAAAGTTGCTTATGTCAAATCAAAAGTAATGTGAAGGTGGTCTTCTTTTCTTAGTTGCATGGGGAGTCCTACTTAAACTTGTGAAGTTCAAAGTCTTCAAAGAAAAGAAAGTGAATAAAGTCTAAGGTTGCTCACGTGGAGAGCAAAAAAGAAAGCCAAGCCACGGCTCCTTACCTAAATTATGGGGCTTTGTAACTTTGGAATATTAATCAAAAGCATGGAGAAAAAGTTACAGGTCAAAAGTAAAGGGACTGAGGCAATCACATGGTTCAAAGGATGAAAGACCCAACAATTAAAAAAGGGTGTCTATCTGTTCAAAAAACCAAAAAGACAAAGCTAATTATACAAAGACTTAGCAGTACTCCCAAGCAACAAATACAAGACCACCAAGGAGCTACTAATGAAATTGGTAGAGAACTCTTGCGGAATAAAAATCTGAAGCAAAGCTTTCCAATACGAAGCAAGTTGACCTCATGAAGCAAAGTTGCCAGTCAAAGGGGGTTTATACTGATTAACAATTAATTGGTATAATTTTCCAAGTGAAGTCAATGGACATGATCTCCAAAGTAAATTCGTCCATTGTATCAATTGGCATATAATTGATACAAAATTTCTACAAAGCCAAATCCAAATCAAAATGGCACAAAGCCTCTTCAAATAGCACAAAGTCATTTCATAATTAACGAACTACGCCTGTTTAATTCCGTTAAGGATACGTAGATAGTCTAATATCAAGTTTTAGACGCAACCGTGAAATCGAAACGAATCCCTGGTTTATATAAACTAAATTCACTTCTGCTATCAAATACCAAAATGGCACGAAGCCGAAGAAAAGTTTCAAAGGGCACGAAGCCGTATCAAAGTCTCAAATGGCACAAAGCCGAAGAAAAGTCTCAAATGGCATGAAGCCATATCAAATTTTCAAATGCTCCTCACCCGCATGAGCTAAAACTGCATAAGGCACTATGCTCCTCGCCCGCATGAGCTAAAACTGCACAAGGCATCAAAACGCTCCAATGGCTTAAAGTCCTCGTCCGCACGAGCTGAAACTGCACAAGGCATCAAAACCCAAACACCAAGGAACTACGAGTGACTTGATCCCTCAACGAGGGTACATAGGCAATCTAGGATTCTACCTAGGTACAGTCACAAAATCAAACAAACACTCAAATCCTCAAGATACGATTTATTCAAAATTAGAATCAAAGGGCATACCTTTCCAAAAGAAGGGTTGTAGTTAATAGGCGAGTAGCCTAGAATGGGTTGAACTCGAATTAATAAAACCCTCTTCGAAAAAATGAACGAGGATGAAATTGTGTCGAGTAACTTATTTGTTTACATATTGTGTACAATTTTTGCTCAACAATCATGAATCCTCTTCAATTTGCTTCTGTCAGCCGCTTCCTGGTGGTCCTGAGCGGCTTCTGATTCATTGACCACCACTCACCGGACCACTATCTTCTCTCAAACATATTGTTTTAACAGAGGGAAGGAAATCTCCACCCAGAAATAAGAACTGTGGAGCTCCTCTGCTCTCCCATCAACCTTTATCGACGCCGCGGCTAATATAATGACGGGGTTTATAAGGCAGGAGTCTGTTGCCGGGCTCTAGCCTTTCGATCGATCAAACCGTTCATATTCAATTATTGCCTCCTTTAGTTAGAACTTGTTTCGTCGACTTGCCAAAATCTCAGTTATCAGATCAGTTGAGTCGAAGCCTAAGTTTTTATTTTAAGAGAAATGATAGCTTTATTTATCAAGAAATATTCAACGAAAATTCAAATCTTGGTAGAGTTCATTCTTTATGTCGTATGAATGCATGTTGATGACTGATCATAGCAATATCTGGGATTGTTTTCTCTTGGTATTAGGATCATGCCCTACACACTCACACACCCCACTTGTTACATGAAGGTGCTAACAATGATCATCATGGGTGAAATTCAAGTGAATGTTTGCTACAAAATGAAGCTTTCTTAGTTATTAATGGTATGGATATGATGAGTACAAGCAAATGGTAGATGTTATTGAAAAGAAAATCTGATTCAAATGTTGGCCTGACAACATGAAACACATAAAATAGATATGAAGTTGCGAATATGCACGATAAACTTGCAATTTCTTTCTACTACCACCCTTTTATTCCCAAGATTTCTTTCTTCAAATCTTGGTTTTGGATTAGGGTTTTTAATATTATTGGTTCTCGTTCTCCTTAAATCAAGATAGACTACACTCCAGAATGTCATTGTGGCATATGGAACTAATAATACAATATCACGTGGGATAATTGAAATATATATGACATTGTATTATTAGTCTGAGATGCCACACACCCAGGTGTATGTAATTAAGTTTTTCCCCCTTAAATCTGCCTCGTCAGATCTTCAAAGATCTCCATAGCAGAAGCTGGCAAACCCAAAAGCACATGTATGCTTTTCCTATCTTCTCCATGAGGTAGAAACAAACTTACTTCCTTCTCAGGCAAACCCACCGGCCCTGAAAACACAGGCTCTCCCCAGCCAAAGTCAGTTGTGTGGAAACTTAGCTTGGACCAAGCTGTTATCAAAAGGGTTGCTGCCAAAGAAGGCCTAGCTCTTGTCACTTCAAAGTAATCGACCACCGACCTCATGTAACTGCTCGTCACCATTTTAACCGCCTTATCAACTAACCCAACTGCAAATGAAAGCGGATTTTCCAGTAACTCCCCAGCACTGCACATTGCATGCGTCAACAAAATTGCATTCCCAAATAACCCTTCTGGTACTGGTGGCTCAAGTTTTGAGCGCCCATCAACGGCGAAAAGGAGCTTCGTTTTTTGATCTGGTCTCATTCTCAAGGCCTTAGTTCTAGCTCTCCACACAAAGGCAGAGAGCGCTTTAAATGTTGTGCAGTTTTCAAGAACCCCATCTTCCATGGCCATTTTCTTCAGCTTTTCGAGCTTCTCAGGGTTGAAACAGAAGGCGCTGTATAGCAGTTCTTCTTCCTCATAGAGCTTGTAGTTTTCAGATATGTCTTCGATCTGAAAGAATTCATCATGAGAAAACTCTATCTTTGGTGGGTTTCTGGGTTTGAGTATGTTTCTGTCGAGAAATGGCACAACCTTGAGCTGCAAGCCTCTTGCGCTATCACCCCATGAGTTGATAAATTCCATTACGGAGATACCATCGGACGTACAATGGTTGATACATAGCCCTAGAGCAAACCCTCCGCATGTGAATTTAGTCACCTGAAAAATATAAGTCAGCAAGGTTATTAGGCCATCTCCAACCGAGGGCTGGCCACATAGCTCGTTTTAGCTCTCTGGCCCTCCAAGAAATTAATATTTTAATGAACAGTATAAGGCCATCTTTGCCTCCATCTCCAACCGAGTGCTAAAGGGCCATAGGGCCAAACATATTGTTTAATATTGTTTCATGTTACTTAATTTAATTTAGCGTTGTATAATGGCTTAGGAAGTTATAGGAAAAAAAAATAGAATTTCAAAAAAATATGAAACAAATTTTGTAAAATAGAAGTTATAGGAAAAAAATGGAATTTAAAAAAAATATGAAACAAATTTTGTAAAATAGGAGTTATAGGAAAAAAAATAGAATGAAGTGAGATAGTATGAAATGGTGAAAATTATGTGAGAAATGGTGTAGGAATGGCTTAGGTATTTATAGAAAAAAAAAAAGGTTTAAATTCATTAAAAAAAAATTTGAATACAATGGCTAATCAGCTAATCATTGGATTCAAATTTTTGTTTAAGCATTCCTGTCGGTTATATCCGACAGGATTGTTGCAATTTTTTGCCAGCCCCGGGCTGGCTACATGCGACCAGCCCTTTGGCCTTTTCAGATTTCGTGGGGCCCACGAGCCCTCTGGTCTAGCCCTCGGTTGGAGACTGTTTTCAAGCAATTTTCGACCCTTTGGCCCTCTTGGGACCCTTCGGTTGGAGATGGCCTTAGGCGGTGCCTAGGCGACTTAGGCCTCGACGGTTCTTTAACTTAAAAACAAAATATCTCTCACTCAAAGACTCGCTCCGAGTTTCTACATTTCGCTGTGATTTGACGAGAAGAGAGAGAGAGAGAGAGAGAGAGAGAGAGAGAGGAGAGCTGTGGAAGGAACATGCAGAGAAAAATAGAGGGTGACGGAGCAGAACTGCAGGCCGAAGGTGACGCACATCTTCATTATTTAGTTTGGGTTTTTTTTTAAGTGAAGTGTTATTGACACTCCAAAAATCTCATTATACACTCCTCATAAGTGTATTTGTCTTTCTAAATATAGAAAATTTGGAGTGTAGAATGAGAATTTTGAAATGCCAATAACAATTTCTTTTTTTAATAGGAAATACACTTTATTAGGTTTTTTATGAGAAAGCAAGGCTCAATTTAAAAAATGAGGCCCCACAAAAACATATGGACCTATGCCCCGCCAAAGGCGCTTTGGCACTGCGTCTCTTCTCATCGTCTGATTTATGCTTAACGACTTTTGCAAATTTGATTTAAAAGTTTTGCTCTCTTTAATATTATCCTTATAACTTGCTCACAACAACTTGTTACTCTAGTGCACTAAAATTACACAATATTTAATTTGAAAAAGTGAAGTTGATAATAGTATTATGCATAAATTTTAGGTCTAAACTTGTTGATCTATTTTGAAGCACTTGACATCATTTTATGAGGGGATATATTCTTGCAAAATTAAAGAGTATGACCGAGACGCAGCATTAGCCCTACTCAATACTCGTCATATTTAACATGTGACGGTGTTGAGTGAGATCTTGACCATCAATGGCGGATGAGCAAAATTATCTCTCAAAGGGGAAAAAAGGCATGGAAATTTTTGGAAACTCGAACCTGAACTGTCAAAAGAGGAATCTCAAGTATGTTCTTGGCACCAGGAATATCATGAACTAGATTCCCAAGAGTCTTAGGATCAGGCTTTGTTGTGTCACCTATCTTTTCCATTTCGCAGTTGGCTTCAGCTTCAACAAACATAGCACCGTCTCCTGTGCAATCGATAATCAGCTTCCCTTCTGTGCTGATAGTTAACTTTCCTGCAAAAGGGTAATAGTGAACAAGAATTTTTGATAATGCTTTCTTTATGACTTCCGCAGCTTCTTCGTTCCCTTTTGAATCCGACTTGAAGCAGTACATGGTTCGGACTATGACCGCAATGTTCTGGTCCAGGTTCGAGAGGTAGTACAGGCCCTTCTCCGTTTCGGATTCAGGAGGCACCAGAGTTGGTTCTTCTTTCTTTACAATAAGCTCAAAGGCTTGGTCACTGATATCCGCCATCACTCAAAACACCCTTGTATAATCTAGAAAAGTAAGAAAAACGTGTCCACTCTTTAAGAAAGAACAGACGTCCGGTCCAAAAATGAACTGTAAATATGTGTATGCAATCAAGAACTTAGCTTTAAAAGTAAGAAACACGAAAAGGGAATAAGAACTACAAATTGACGTGTACCTGCAATGCTTGAATGAAAGATATCAAGGGGTGAGGTTATGAGGAAAACTCAGATTTTGTAATCCCTTTCGGATGGGGTTGTAATTTATATAGGGAGCAAATGGGGCTACATGTTATATGTTCCTGTAGGCTGCAGCTCTGAGGTTTTATATTTTCTGTATTTTCAATTCACTAGTTTATGAATTTATTGTTTGCTACCACGCCATTGATTGTTTTTGTTACGAAAGTTCTGCAGCATGAAAAGGAATTGGCGGGGGCTTATACGCAAAACACTTTTAGTGGAATAGCCCCTCTCTAAGAAAAAGAAAGAGTCCAAGAAACCATTTTCTTTATTTATTGCTAACTCGTAAAGTTTGAAGTCTTATCCAAGTATTTTGAACACTGGTGATCTTTCTCTGCAGATTGAGCTGTGGGAACGGCTACTGTATATTGACCGGAACATACCGGCAATGGAGTTTGGTGTAGGGAAGAGTGATCAAGGGGTTAGGGTTGGTGTGGTGGGCATCTAGAAGTTACATTAGGTTGCTTGGTACACTTGCTCTTAATAATATTAAAACCCAAAATATCTCCTACAGCATTAATTACGGACCTTGATTGGAATTTGAACAGCTCACAATGGCTTGCTTAGAGGTATCAACGAATCACACAGTTAGAATCTAGGAAGTTTCAATTAGATTTGGGTTGGGATCTTACTCAAAAATGAATGAGAGTGAATCTTGCAACAAAAAATTAAGAGACATTACATATGCTTATAAAGAGTTAGGCTAGTGCCAATTGGTTTTACGATGGAACCTTAACTTTCTTTATGGTAAGAGTCAGGTTACATGTTCTTACAAGAAGTTGGGCCACTCTCCACATTTGACGAATTAATTTAATGGTAGAATCTCAACTTTTTTCAATTACTAATCTTGGATTTCGTTCAATGTTTTACAACTTCTGACCTTGAAATATGAAATGATGGTTTATTGGAATCTCAACTATGCTTTTGAGGATTGAAAGTGTATTGCAATAAAATTTATCAGAAGTATAAGGAAATCAATGAAATTATGTTTTCGAGGATTGGAAGTATACTACAAATTGAGTAGCAAAGATGTAGTTCATCCTCACTCTGGCACTGAAACTCTCCAAGCTCACGAGATGGCCAAGATAGCTTCTGGATAGGGCAAGAAGGTTGTCTTAATTCACAAGCAGGGCCCATCCCAACTTCATTAATTTCAATCTTATGAGATCGCTAGTATACTTCCAATGCTCAAAAACACAATTTCATTCATTTCAGTACACTTTTTGTTTTACCTCAAGTCTTAGGGTTTGATCTTAAGATTGTGTGATACTAAGTTAGTAAGTTATTGCCTTGGGTGTGGGTTTATTGATCAATTTTAGTTATATTGTTAATTTCAACTTGTACTTAATGGTAATTATGCAATAGAGTAAAAAAAAAATTCATATTTACATTTTAAGTTGGGTGTAGAGATAGATTATATGGGTTCGAATAAAATTTCCCAAAAAAAAAATAAAAAATTGAACCCATCCAATGCAACTCACATAAAAAGTTAAACCTTATCCTCCCTGACCTTCTCTTTCGAACTCCCTCCTTCCAATATACCCCTAGATTTGAAAACCACAGTCGCTGGCTCCTTGCTCCAACTTAGGATCGGTGGCAACCTTCTACCCTTTCATTCGAGGCCGCCTTGTTGCCTATTTCTTCCCCTCCCATACACCGTGCCACCACTCTCCTCTGCTTCCCTTACCCTCGTGCCTTGCCTCCCTTCTCCCCACCTCGCCTTTCTCCCCCTCCCTTTCTCTCACCTCGCGCCTCCCCCTTACCAATCCCTGTACCAGCTTTTCATTCATTACTTTTTACAAATAGCATTACAAGCTACAACGACTAAATTTATCTAGGACGATGTTTTATAATAAATTAACAATAAATATAATCTATTCTACTATGTTTGGATGAGGAAAATAAATTTGGAATTTGAATAAAAGTCAGAATTTATAAATTGACATGCACCAATTCCCTTGTTTGGATTTATAACATAGAAATTTAGAATTTAAGCGTAGAAAAAAAACTTGGAATTTGGGGCCTTCAATTTCCAAGTTTAAATTCCATGTAAATAGGTGTCATTTCCTAATTTTTATAATTGGGAGTTTAAAATTAACAAATTCCGTTTTCAATTTCATTGTTCTTTTAAGTTAAACAAACAACAAAATTCACAAATTCTAGAAAATAAAATCCCTTCATTTCAATTTCCGTCATTTTAAAATTCCTTAGTAATCTTAAATTTCTTCATCCAAACATAGTGGGGAAAGTGAATGCAAAATGAGATTGAGTGGAGATCTTGGTAGGAAGAAAGAGAGTAGGCTTTTTTCTTTTAATTAAAAAGGGTCTCCCTCAAGTGACTTAGTAAAAAGACCTGCTTTCAAATTTTTTTAAATACTTTGACTAAAAACGACGTCGTTTTGACAGTCTTTTAATAAAATATAAAAATCTTCTTCTCCCTTGTTAATCATTTGCAGAACCTTCAACCGGCGACACGCTGCACTCTCTCCTCCACCACATGCCCAAACTTGGGTGGTCCTCATAGCCATCCAGGTCCCTTAATGGATCTGCCCGATTATATACCCATTTGACACCTCTTGTAAATTTGGTTTGTGTTAATGAAATCTCTCTATTGTTGCTTATAAAAAAAAAATAGTTAGCCCTACTTTGGAATGATATGATATTCTTATAAATCGTAATCACACGCCTCTAAATTTTGCATCAAACTTGAGTATTCTACCACCGAAGCTATAAGTTCGTAGCCTAATAATAAGAGATTCTTCATTGTTTTTTCTGCAAGAAATTGCTTTAGATTATAGGAATTTGTATATTAAACACAAAAATATACCTAGTTGGATGGAACTTTTCAATCAAACTTTAAGTAACACAGGGTTAATTAACCATGTGGAACAATTCTTTGCTCAGCTATAAACTCCACCTTAAAAGTAGGCAGATCAAATTTCTAAAAAGGATAATGTTGACTAATCTGTAGATTTTGATAAAGTGAACAAGTGAAAAAGAAAAGGACAGGAAATCTGGACATCCTCAATCATAATGTGAACCCAAGACTCGAGTTTAAGGGAAACACCCTAATTAGTTGAGCTACAAGCTTATCACAATATTTGTTTTTTAAAACAACAAAACTGAGACCAACTACTTCTTAATGTTTTGGTTTTCTCATCTTAACCATATTTAAAGAGATTTCAAGTTCGAATTCATTTCTTGCTGGTAACGAAACAAGAATATCCGAAACACGTATGCAGGAGTGGATTACCAAGATTGTAAGACTAAGAAGGTTTTAGGAGAAAATAGTTGAGAGTAAACCAATTTCTTAGAAAAACTCCATCTAATTATGTTTCGAGCCGGAAATAATGCAGATGGTGAATGGAATTAGGTTTTCTGTTCTCCGTTTCGGATTCAGGAAACACCAATGTTGGTGCTTCTTCTTTACAGTAAGCTCAAACGCTTTGTCACTGATATGCCCTCATCACACACAAGCATCCTTGTAGTAGGTATTAACTTAAAACACCTAAAGTGAATGACAAATGGTTTCCTCAGATTCTGCAGATTCCATTTCGGATGGGAGGGAACACCTGGGGCTGTATATTATCTGCTCTGCAGCTCTTTAGGGTTTGGTTGATACTGTTGGGGTGTGTATAAATTTTTTGTGGTGTAAATTGCCTAGTTTTTGGATTTAGTGTTTGCTACCATCATTAATTGTTATTATTGCTGCTGAGACTGGTACTAATTTTTTGTGTAGCTGTTTTTATATGACGAGGTCTCAAGTTCGAATTTTTTTTCTCTTGATAAAAAATTAGTGGCATTGTCATTTCTAAACCACATGCTAGAAACTAAAGGCCACGATTGAAGGATTAAGAAAATTTAGGGAGAAAAGTCGATTCCTAAAAAAATCCATCTAATTTTGTTTTGAGCGGGAAATGATGCAAATAGTCCATGGAAATTAGGTCTTTGTAACCAAATCAAAAGGCCAGAAAGAAAAAAGTAGGGAAGAAGGGAAGGCCAACTAAGGGCATATGAAACCTACTCGTATTAGAGCGTCATCATTCAGTAGCATGTCAGTTTTTGCATTTCTAAATAATATTCTCTTAAATAAATAATGGAGACCTTGTGTTCAATGAAAAATATGTACAATTAAAAACATATATATTTCATGTTGACCGAAAATGCTCGTCAATCGACAATTTTAAGTGAGATGTAAAATACCCATCGTGATCAAAAGATGTGAATAATTGATGTAAATTTTCATCTTGGTTACACCTCAGAGAAAGAAAGCAATAAACTCTTGAGTTTTAGAAAAGGTTGGCCCATATTCTTTTTCTTTTCTTTTTTTCAAACAAAGCGAGTAATTTCATCGAAAGAGAAAGGCTCATTACAATAACATCAAATTCGCCAAATAAAATGGGGATAGTCAAAAGCCCGATTAACAAAGATGAAAATAAATACACTACCCTAATCCTCATCCCGCACAGCCCGACCGCCACCGAGGTTGGCCCATGTTCAAATTCTTGCTCCATAACGTTACCAAATTTTTAACTTAATCCCTGATTTGAAAGATTTTGTTGCGGCTTGTCCAAAGTTATAAAAAACACTAGACGCTAGTCGCGCGGCAGACTGAGGTCTAAACGGACTAACCGGATTTAATTAAAGTTATTATATTTTGTGTAAATAAGTGTATATTTATACTTAAAATATATATAATTTTATTATATACTGCAAAATAAAATGACATATATATTATGAGCTATTGAAACATAATGAAAATATGGGAAACAAACATATAATATGTGTTCATTTAAGTATTCAACAAGTCTTACAATTTTATTGAAAAAAATAAAATGCAAAATGAAAGTTATCTATTTTCTATCTATGTGAGTTGTTTGTACCATACTTAGGGCCTCCGTATTTAGATCTCGTATAAATACTCGGGGGACTTAAATGTAATTATGTAATAAATGAAGGGGCAAATATGTAATAAGTGAGGAGCCATTATTCTATAAAATGACTCCTCACTCTCCTCATTAAGGGAGGCTCTCATATTCAGAGCAAGCCCCCTCCCCTCTCAAAGCCTCACTCACATTACAAAGGCTCTCTTCC